CAGCATCAGTAAAGTCAACAACTTTGCCTAAACTCTTTTCCACCGCACACCACGTGCATCTTGGCAGTAAATTACGCGCAACGTCTATCGTTTTTGATTTTGTCAGTAGAAATATCTGTCCAAACTATATCGTGTTTGGTCCCATTTTAATCAGAAAACTATCAGCAATATGTTTAAAAAAGATCAGTGTTAAAATATTAAAATTAAAAAAGTTTATGTCATTGCATTATGAGTTGCCTTCCGGGAATTCGAGTCAAAGGAGCCGCGGCACGTGCCGCAGCACACGTGTTCACCAACACAATCGAACTTTTTAGCATAGTGAGAAAATCGATAAATTAAAGGGTCGCAAGAAAATCAATAAATTACAGGGCCGTAACAATATCTCGGCGTCGGGATTTGCATACTCAAGTTACGCCGAGAAGAGAGACATTACAGTATATCTTATTTCTTGCATTCTTCTCTTACCTTTATTATGATATGTATGCGCCTCTGGGATATTATATTTTTGTTATCGCAATAGCTTATGTCAAATCTAAGGACATTTACTTAAAAAATATTTTTTATCGTGCATGAACTAAACACTGGAAAATTAAAATTGATTCTTCAATTCTGTTTATAAATATTAACTATTATCTCTGTATGTTATTACAGCACCTATTAATTAATTATTGTTAGGATCGACCCATTCGATTTGGATCCGCACGATGAGCGGAGCAGAAAGGTTCTAAACCTAACCGAAGGAAAAGGGTGGATTTTAAATTATGGATTAGTACGTGGTTGAGCAGTATAACAAGATTGGGTAAATGCCCTTTCGTTTATTCATAAACGTAGCAGAGATCGCCAAGTCTTACAATTTTCTGAATTTGATTCGTACAGAATAACGAGAATGTCATTATCGCTCGCTCTCGCTCGCTCGCGGACAAGGACGGACGAACGAACACAAACCCTGCCGGACAAACGTACGGACAAACGAACACGGCGACGGAGATCGACTGAAAACGATGGAACAAAAAAGAGATTTCCCATGGCATATCTTGTATCAACAATCAAAACCACCTGCAGACAAAAATGGAACAAAAGATGGTCTACCACTAATAGAACAAAAATACCCGACGCAATCCAAGACTTCTACCAACCAATACCAAATATGTACTATCATGACCAGGAAGGATTATTTAAAAGGATTATTTATTAATTAGGATTATTTATTTATTTTAATTATAATACCGCGACTTCGGACTGGACATACCAAACTGACACACGAATATTTGATTAAAAAGACAGAAGAGCCCCTCATTGTTTCCTATGCAATAAAGGAAGAGACAGCCCTAACATCAGAGGACCACATAGAAAACACTTTACACTACTTGAAGAAAACCAACTTATACTATAACATGATCCAAACCTAGAAACGTCGCTGATTACCTAGCAGTAGATGCGTTAAACCAGAAGAGTAAAAGATTGTCGGAAATACCGACCGAATATGACTCGCTCTGATGAGCGAACGAAAACAAGAACAATTGTCGACCAATGTTCACTGAAAGGAGTGAACGAACAAAAAAAAAGGGTTTGTCGATCGAAACAGGAAAATTGAGCCGATTACCGGAATACGCCAACCAAAAGGAGCTCACAAATGTTTATCGGAATGCGCCGACCGAAATGTGCCTTGCAATGAGCAAACAAAAATCACAATACAACTGTCGAAATCCGTCGATCGATCGAGTATTTCTCGCTGCTAGAGCGAGCAAGACGAAGCACGTGCGTGTAACAAACAGAGAACGCAAATTGCCACGAGGTACACAAACACAAAGAAATGCCGGAACGCCGACTGAAAAGTCTCACCGCTTGCGCGAGTGAGATAGAAAACTGAGCGAATCCGACACGGTACGCACAGAATCGAGAAGACCGCGTGGAACAATTTGATTATCGTTTGCCGAAACTGCCGGCCGAAGAGAAGTCTCGTGCAAGATGACCGCGAGCGAAACGAGTGCGAGTGAGAGGGCAAATATATTGCGTCGCGTCAATGCGCGTACAACAGGTGAATTTAGAAATGTTCTCGTTCCCGTGTTTCGGAGCGGATTACGTTACTGACATGGCCTCTCGTGTTCGATCGTTCGGACAGCCTTGCGGACCGAATACGAAGACCGTATCAAGAGTTATTTCTCGATCTTAGGGCCACGAAAGCCGCGGAATTCCCCTAAAAGAAATACTCGTGCGAACAAAGACCAAAAGCTACGTAGGTTTTGGAACTCGGTATTCGCCTGGACACGCGGGGTTATCGTCTATTTGCCCAGTCAAATAACGTGCGATTCTACTCGCGAAATGAAAAACGAAAAAATCTCTCAGCTTGCTGCTAGAGAAATCAGAACACTGTAACTCACCTTGGCCTCCCGCGAGCAGCTTTAATTTCGCCGCTTTCGGCGCTGCGGGGCAAATCACACACTCGAAGTTTTCCGAAAACGATGACGTGTTTGCAACAAGTAGCGATTCGGCACTGACACACAGCACGCCAGCACGCATGCATGCACATGCGCTGACAACTAGGAACCGCTGTTGCTAATGATTATTATTTTTGGATTCCAAACATTGACAATAAAAAGAGGAAGTTACTGACAAAATAAAAAAATGATAGCTTCCTTGAACAGAAAAGCTAATTTCGTCTCATTTTTTATAAATAAACAACAGATTCACCGAGGGAATGCTACGCATTAATCCGTATATTTTATATTTGCTATGCACTAAACAATTAGTTATTGTCGAACAGAATCAAAGTTAAAAAGATTTAGAAGACAAATGTTTAGAATGTGGAGACATAAAAGATTGTGTTGTCCATAATGTAAACAAAATGCCAATTTGAGAAAGCGTGACGAATGGGGTCGATGATAGTGAGGAAGGACAGGGAAAAATATGGCATGGGTGAGATTAATTGGCGTGACACGGTAGCGAACAAACTGAACGGGAACTAAAGATGCATGAAATATTTATGTTCGAGTAACGGGTTCGATCGACAAGGTTTTGTTTTAACGACTTCGTTTCAATCGTAATCGGTAAACGAAAATGCCCTGGTTTCTCCTGACAGTCGCTTCGACAATTGTGCTAACTGATGCACAATCGCATGGACCCGTTCTCCCGATCGCAGACAGTCAGTGGTTTGCGATCGAAACCGACACTCACACGCTTCTTATATGATTACGTGTTGGTAAAACTCATAACTTGCTGGATCCGTATTAATCATATAGTTTATCTGATTCGCTAGACGAGATAATATGCCGAATCCAAGTACATACAGCGGTTTTTATGACATTTTTCTGACAAACTAAATTTGAAGAAATATATCACTGTAGACAAAACGAATCGAACCACTATGCCCATCGAACTTGTTTCAGATAAACCTGTAGTCTACAAACCCAATCATTTATCGTACTATGACAGCCAGCAATACAAGGATCTAATCGACGAATTAAAAACAGCCAATATTGTCGAGGATAGTACTTCATCGTTTGCGTTAACAAAGCTACCATGAAAGTAGGTATCCATTATCACGTATCGACGATCAGTTAGACAGGCTAAAGGGACAGAATAATTACACAAGTTTGAATCTCGCTCACTCACTCACTCACTCACTCACTCGCTCGCTCACTCACTCCCTCACTCACTCGCTCACTCACTCGTTTTTCGTTAATAACTGGTAAACAAAGCCGCGGATTGCATTTTCGCAAAGGAAAAAGTTAATTCAAATGACCTCAGCTACCCCTCATTTTCTGCTGTTAAAATAATTGTGGAACACCCTGTATATTTCTTTCTGTAAAAATATTAAATTGAGTGATTATTTAATCGAGATATCCGTTTGGAAGACTCACGATAGGGAATTCAACATGAATTTGTGTTTATATAGTTCTTTCGTCACATAAGAAAGAGTAGGGATGTATACCTTGAAAATATTTTTATATTTGAAACTTTCAGTTTAAAATATAGTAAAGTCAGGTGAGCTTTGCGAGTGCACCTAAATGAGGCAAGCAGAAATTAACAACAATAGCTATAATCCTTAATATATAAATAAAATAAATAACTGAAATATAAAAATAAAATAAATAAATAATAATAAATATAAAAATCCTTAATATATAAAGATGCGGATTATGTAATGCTAATTATTATTTACAAAATGGTGTTATTTACGACGAGCCGTCGAATTATTACCGATAAAGCGAGATACGTCTGCTTCGCTCAAATTTTCATGTATTTTCTTGTTCTGCGGCAGATGCCCGATAATTATTTGTATTAATGGCATCATTATTACGCATAATTACCGACAACGCCGCTGCCGCCGCTGATGAAATTATCATCGGTAACTGTAGAATCTCAGCGAGTTGTTAAGCTGGTGGTAATGCAACGAGAATGTGCAACATGTTGCGCTCGAATCCGTACGCTCGATCTTAACACTATGGCGTCCGCAGAACTTAGATATGATTCTTTTGTTTGACGCCGGCATAATAGCTTGGAAATTTTAGATTTTAAAAAAAATTCCGAAGATGGCAGTAATATAAATTCCTAAAATTAAGATAAGTTATCCAAGAATTTTCGTACTTAGTTGTTAGTTGAATAAGCACAATGCTATAGTTAGTTTGCTGCCTTTTAACACCCAAGAAATATAGTTCAAATGTTATTACAGTTTTTTAAAATGGCACCAAAGTGGTACCACCGGCATACAACAGATAGTTTTTGCATGGCACCAGCGTGGTGCCACCGGACGGCATAGTGTTAAAACGAACAAAACTTTATAATTATGATAGTGTGATTGCCTTATCCGAAAATTCAATGTGCGCGGTCGGCACGACGCGTCGATGCCGGGCGAACGTCAATGTGACGTTCAGCTGTGAGAATCTCACTGCACTCGTCATTCCGCTCGGAATCTATCTAGAATCGAAATTAATTTGGTCCTGCCACATTTGCATGCCAGCTATTATACATATTGTTACAGGGTCATTATTTTGTTACAGGGTGATCGCTCCCGCTCCACAGACGTGACAATGGATACGGTTGGATCGGGGACGAGAAATGTCCTTGGACTGAATTAAACCGCTGCGTGGTGATGGTGTCACGGGACTGCGAACTGGACAAGTTAAATGTGGAGTGAACCATCTGACTCGCGCTGGCCGTAGTGACGGAGAGAGGCTATAGTATAGTTATGTCAAGGTTATGTTTAAACTAAACACTATATCGTAGAAAGTAACCGTAGGGACAATTAGTCTATCCGTAGAGTAGGCTAATTGTACCGTACTTCGCAGTATTACTTTACTGGGCGCGATTTATAGGCTATCCGTACACGAAGTTGGATCAAGGATCGGACAGAGTAAAGACAAGGTTGACTTGAAGTAAAGATGTAGACTGCTTTTATTTTGAACAGAGGGTCCTTATATAGTACTACAAGTTTGTCTTATCGTGCTGTTTTTGGTGGCGACTATAGTGGCTCTCCGTAAGATGTCACTGAGGTACAACGCGCGAAATATCTAAATGGTAAATAAATAATATAAATAGTTATTTAAGAAAAAACTGATTGCTTAGCAACCCAAATATTTCAAGTATCAGCCTGTAGTAATTTGTTTGATTCAATTTGTTCGATTCGAAAGTCAGTGTTTACTGGAAAAAGATAATTCACCTTATTTTTCTCCGAATAACGGATACGTAAGTATTCCTTGTTGTTTTTAAATTTTCTAACCTTATTTAGGTTAATTATTTGTGAACAGATTTTATCTTACCCTTAAAATGACGACGAATAATAACGGAAAAAGATGTGTAGATTTAAATCAAAATTACTTGGACCTGTCAGAAGGTGACGAAATAAATTTAAATTTGGCAAGGAAGAGACTTAAAAACAGTAAAAGATTTCGAAGAATGAGATGCAGCAAATCCGAAATCGAAGAAGACAGTTCATCGGAAAAAGATATTAGAAAAATTACATGGAGCAACAAGTTTTTCCAACCGACTGTCCATAAATTCAATTCCCAGCATTCCGGAATTAAAGTATCAATTAGCTATTTAGCACCGATTTTAGATTATTTTAAATTATTTTTCTCCGAAGATTTTATAAATTTTATTGTCGGCACGACAAACAGCTATCGTAGTAGCCTTGATAATAATCATAATAAAATAAATTCCCAAAATACTTCTGTCGGAGAAATGTATTGCTTCCTCGCCCTCAAATTATTGATGTCGCGAAACAGAAAACTGTCATATTCCGAATACTGGTCTAACGACAAACTTTTGAGGAGCAACATTTTTGGAGAGGTCATGTGTAGGGATCGGTTTTTATATTTGTTAAAAATTTTACATTTTAATTCGAACAATATGACCGCAGATGTTGATAAATTATACAGAATAAGAGAAATTTGTGATAAGCTGCGACAACGTTTTCAGGAGGTGTTTTATCCTTTCGAAAATCTTTGTATTGGCGAAAGCTTACTCCTGTATAAAGGAAGATTATTATTTAAGCAATACATTCCCTCTGAAAGAAACAGATTTGGGATAAAATCATTTGTTTTATGTGATTCTAAATCGGGGTTTGTGCATGATCTTATTATTTATAATGGCTCATTAACTAATGTAAACTGCGTAAATCAATTTATTGGAAAGTCAGGAAACATAGTAATGGAATTATTGAAACCACATTTAAACAATGGCCATACATTATTTTTGCATCAAAATCAAATCAACGCTTGTGGAACAGTACGTAAAAGGCGAAAAGGCATGCCAAATATTCAAAATACATTAAAAACTGATGAAGCAAGTTTTCGCTCCTCGAGGTATTTATTAGCGATGAAATAGTGTGATAAAAGAGACGTATACATGCTATCTTCTTTCCATACCGAAGAATCTGCTGAAACAAAACGTCACTTCCGGACTCGAGAAATGATTATGAAACCAAAGTGTGTTATTGATTACAATAAATTAATGGGAACCGTAGACAAAACAGATATGGTTATTAGCACCATTCACTCACAACGCAAAACGTTGAAATGGTACAAAAAATATTTTTTTCATTTAATTGACATCTGCGTTTGGAACGCTTATTGCTTATATAAGTTAAAAACTAAAAAACAAATATCAATGGCAAGCTTTCATCTACAGTTAATTCGTCAACTTTTAAACTATTATCAATCTGAAAATAAGAATACCGATGCGAATAAATCAGCAGAAACGAATCCACTTCGCATTTGTGGAGGACATTTCCCGTCGAAATATACAAATGAAAAAACAAAACGAAAGAATCCGCTCCGAAAGTGTGTAGTTTGTTCGAAAAATGACAAGTGGTGTAGATCGCGATATCAGTGCCAAATTTGCAATGTTGGCCTGTGTATAACTCCATGCTTTGAAGCATATCATACGCAGTTACACTATTAAAAGCCATTATAATCATACAATTATATTATGTTATATTGTTTTATTATATTGTTTTTTATTTTATTATGTAATATTATTTTATCATATTGTTTATTCCTTTATTATGTTATATTATTTTATTATTAATATCCTGAAATACCCTTTTATTCATAAATACTCTTTGAAGAAAAATTCTTTCGTTCGAAAACATTCAGCAGCTTAGGTTCTCCGCCGTGGTACTCTTGATGACGATCGGCGTCGCGTATCTACCGTACTGTGATGTCGCGGCGCGCAGCATTGCTCCGTACAGTGGGAGTACCGCGGCGGAGAACCTGCCCGTAGCGAAAGGGTTAAGGATGAGGTTATCGGGTGTGTCATGGTTCAAAGGGCCGGATAGATGAGAAAGGTATGTTGTGTGGATTTGTCATGGATTTGGCATGATGTCACAAATGATTTGGCTAGATGTGTCACAATGGCATTGTGCGAAATCGTTTAGCAAAATATTTCTATTTATAACGTGATTTATTAACCTTTTTCATTATAACAACGTGATAAATTCGCGATAAAGATACATAATCAAATAAATATAAATGTTATTCATTTCTTTTAAATCAAAATAAAATTTCATTCATCAAAATCTTGGGTATCGAAGTAATTATTATGGAAATGATTAAGCAAGAAGAAGTGCTAATCAATCAAGCTGTGTAAAAAATCGTAGTGCAAGAGGTTATTTTTTCGAATCAAATAACTCTAAGGAAGTAATTTGTTTGTAATCTCTGTTGAAGATTCGGTTTCTTTCAATTTGTTATTTGGTATCAAGTATAATGCGTATTAATTTTTATCACAAAAACGGTGGTTTAAATTCGAGTAATTTTTTTCATTAATAATAAGTCTATCTAGAGTAGTACTTCGTGAAACTGTAATAGAAAATTCGTAATTTTCGAGGTTTAAATACGATATTCTCTAATCTAATAAAACATTTTAATAATCTAAGTAAGATATTTTAATCAATATTCAATAGAAATATCTCTATAGTTTTTTTACGAATATATCATTCGAAATAAGTTACAAACTTTAAAAATTACACAGTCAAGACAAGAAAAAAGTCAGTCAGGAGAAATACAAATAAAATTACGTGTTACGGAATCTTACGATAGACAGAAACATGTTAATTAGGTTCGATTTAGCGACGACTGAAAAATGTTAATACCGCTTTTAGAAAATTATTAGACAAACGAAAGATTTTTATTTATTTAGACGACATTTTAATTGCTACAAAAACCATTGACTAAAATTTAGAAATAAAAAAAATTTAGAAATCCTCGACATTTTGGTTAGAAACCGTTTGGAATTGACGTTGGAGAAATGTGCGCTTCCTTGCTTCAAGAAATTATTTATTTAAAATACTGTATAAATTCAGCGGGAATTAAACCAAATAAAGATAATATACAAGCTGTATCTGAATATTTGATATCGCGCAAATACCGAGAATTGTAAAGCCTTTTAGGATTAGTGTCATATTTTCGAAAATTTATAAAAAATTTCGCTTTCAAGCGAAAAAATGCTAAACATTTTAAAATGTTTCAATATTAATATCGGAACCTGTTTTAGCAATTTATTCGTCGCTTGCGGAAACTGAACTACACTACAATGCAAATAGTCATGGGTTTGTGGATCCGTTTTACATGAATTTTTACAGCACGGGAAAAATTAGTTTTTTGAGCTAAATAATGGTTCAGTTTATCGGAAGATTAGTAATAGGTTATTATTTTATGTTCCTTCCTCAACAGAGGAAAACGTAATTAGAACGAATCACGAAGAAATTAGTCACGAAGGTATAAATAAAATAGTTGAATATATTTCTCGCGTTTATTGTTCCCGAAGAAAAAGCAAAAAGTACAGAAATTTATAATGAACTGCTTGAAATGCGTATAAAAAAATGTATTCCACAACTGCCAATCGTGTAGAAGAAGTATTAAAGTGTCCGGAAAAACGCACAAAACATCGATAAAAATATATTTTCGAAGTAATAGATTTATTTACGAAGTTTATAAAGTTTTATCCAATAGTTATTACAAATACAAAAGAAGCAATTCATTATTTGGAAACTTACTTTTTAAATTATAGTGGACCACATAAAATAGTATCTGACAGTGGTAGTAGTGTCTTTAAATCTTTAAATTAAGTGTCCATAAATATTATTGAATAAGTGATCAGTGTTTAGTGATAATGCAGTGAGAGTGAACGTTGGAGTAGCCTGCCTGGAGACATCCTTTTTTTCGTCACCGCCGGATACAAGTCAGCTGTGCAGTTCATCATACATTGTACGAGGTCAATGCACTATCTTCCTGCACATATTTCCATACATGAAGTGGATTTACAACTAAATGGGTGAGTTTCTTATTGATAATATTCTTCATATTTCTCTAACAAATAAATCCTTTACGTCCTTTAACGCTATTATTTATTATTAAATTAGCTTTGCGAATCGTTCGTCGAATTGTGTTCGGACACGGAATTATTTAAATTAAAATATCATTTACGTACTTCGTTAATCTTCACTGTACACCTTGCTTAAAAATTTCATATGATACACACGAGGTGTCATGCACACCAGAAAATTAAACTGACTATCACGGTTAAATTACTTGTTATTTCGGGTTCGAAAAATTAGTAAATATTCTTCAGACATTCTGAAATAAGGATGAATAGCGTTTTTCTTAAAATTATCACTGTCACGTAGTAAAAAAAATCAGAAGTTCACGCTTCGGTCGAAGCACGTTGCACTCGATCGATCGACACGTTGTAATTTGCGCCCTCGCCTCTTATTGGCCCGTAGTTTTGGTTAACACGTTCCCTGCCAGACCGTCGTTTGAAGACTCCCCGTTCAAGCCGCGTGGGGCGTATGCGCCCCACGCTTTACATTTGTATTATTTTGTTTCTGGTGTGTGCCTTACAATAATTAAAATAGTGCAAAAATCATAATTATCAAGGAAAGGTTGTATAGTTTAACATGCATAACACAACAAACCAATAAATTTATTTTTCTAGGAATTAGTTTAATAACTGGTAAACAAAGCCGCAGATTGTATTTTCGCTAAGGAAAAAGTTACTTTAGTATCACCTCAGCT